ACCCCCACCCTAAATTTTGCTTTTCTATTTGCTTGCAAGGGGGAGAAAAAATATTACTAACATTATAATCCAGGACAACAGCTCTGATACACACAAAATAACCTGCTAGATGGAAAAATTCCTTTATTTTCAGGACTGGAGGTGGGTGAAATTTGTAGATATATGCTCCAAGTTCTCCCAGTCCTAAATATTTCAATAAATATATTTGGGGGGGGGATTCCACCCACTCAAGGTAACATTCCTAGAGGAATCCCACTCACCTTTCCCCTTCAACACAACCACTTTTTTCTGATGTATGAGTAACAAGCTAAGTCCACTATTCATTTTCACTCCTGAGCCCCCCCTAAAGCCCCCTCCTTGAATAAAGGCTTTTCTTCTGTAAGGAATGACAATGTCAACTGTATGAAGACTGACGCAACCAGCTTTTAAAATAAACGTAGGGAAGGGGGGGAAATTAGCTGCTGACTTCTTGGTTAAAGTATTTTCTTGTTCTAACTCATGTTCTTATGTCACTGAGCTAAAAAAAAAAAAAGGAAAGGGGGGGGCGAAGAGAAGAGATGACTTTCCTTGAATGATCTGTTTAACCTAAGCCAGAGGAAAAAAAAAGTCATTAATTACTTATGTGAGCTATTGCTTCTGAAAGACAATAAACCTGCCCGGTCGCCATGGATATGACATATTTGCTCTGAAAACAACACAATAATTAGCAAAGGGGAAAGATACAAGGGGAATATGCAAACTCCAGGGTTTAAAGCCACAGTGTTTCTTTTTTGCATGCCACGGTGGCTTTTTTTCACTTGTCAGTCGGTCCAGTTTGCAATTCAAATTAAGAAAAAAAGGGAGGGGGGGGAGAGAAGACAGGCATCTAACCAAAAGACTTACAAAAAAATTAAAAGAAAGAAGGGGGTAGAATAGCGATCAAACTGCTCTGAAGCAGCAATAGAGGGGGAAAAACACAACACACAAGAGAATTAATAAGATTAAAAGCAATCAAGGATGTATATTTCATCAGACAGGTTAGGCTCATGTTTATGTTGTTTTGAAGTCTGTTTATGATGGCTGGGGCAGTTTGCCTGTGTTTTTGCGCAGTTTTGATTTTCAAGAAATGGGGAAAGTATTATAAAATATATAGAGGAAATTGTTTCAAGGGGGTGAAATTGTGATGGATAGTGTAGCAAGATTGAGCTTGGAGTAATAAAGATGTGTCAGAGCCATATTGACACCTACAACTTTGGTCTCTCTCTCTGATTATCCAGAGGCAACACCATCAGTTTGGAACCAGAGAACGACCTACCAAACAGTGGACCCCCTTAAATAAGTTTTACTGTCTTAATTGTGTCTGAGATTATCCAGTTTCCCAGTCACAACAGTGAGTCATGCAAGCACAATATGAGTTTTTAATATGGGGGTGGTGGTTTGCTGGACAATTCAGGACTGAAGCCTCTTCATCGTCTCCTTAAGAGCTGCTCCTGTTGAAAATTCCTTTCATACCCCCCCTCACCTCTATTTGAAACAAACACTATTAAAACCTCTAATGTATTAACCCTTCCAGATTCTAACCTCTTGCATTTAGAAAACAAGTAATAAAGCTCTATCCTGAATACCTGTTGTTTAGCTTTAGAGAAATTGGAATTTTGACCTATTTTGACATACAGAGAAAAAGGCAACCTCATCATCTAAAAGAAAAAGTTTTATTTGTGTTGCAGAATGATCTTTCGGACCAAGACAACACATTAAATAGAAGGGCCTTAGCCAAGATCATTTCCCCCCAAGATCAGAATCCAGCTGATACACACATAAGGGGAAGAAGACCTGTTGTAAGCTATGCAACTTGGAGGGTCTAAAACTCTTAACTGTCTGCTAGTTTTTTTAAGCCTCTCTTTGCTGCATGCCTGAAATTTAGACCTTTCTTCACACATCAATATGGAAACCTCAACTTCAGCAACCAAAAGGCATAGTTTGAAACAAACAGTTTGAAAACAAACAAGGAAAGTAAAGAAAAACAAAGCAACCCATGCTGGTTCTTTAAACACTTTAGCACATATGGAGTTTAATTTCTTGAAGAGATCAGTTTAACATCTCCATAGAAACCTGCAACAGATTATTATCAACAGAATAAATAAGTAGTCTAATAAATTAAACAGGAGGCAGAAGATCTGGAAACTTGATTACTGAAGTTCACCATATCTTGCCCTCCCCCATAAAACCTTCACAGCCAGTCAAGAGATAGTAAAACTTGTGACAATATGATATAAACAAAGCGATTCTTTCCCCCCCACAGAATGAACCTAAAGACAGTTCGGAATGAAAGAAAAAAAGGGGGGGAAGGGCAAGGAATATACTCTGAGGGGCAACATTAAGGTGATTCCTAATGAAGTTACATATGGCCTGGAGAAAGGGGTAGGTTGGGTAGGAGAAGAGAAGCACACTGAAAGGAAGAAACACATGGAGTTTATTAATGAAGTTCATAGAAAGTTTCACTCCCTCCCACAGAGGCCAGATAGATCTAAACCACAGCTATTCACATTAAACCTCCCATGATACAGCCTATTCAGAGCATTTTCTCAAACAGCAAACTGCAGGAAGAACTTGAACAGCAGCAACACCCCCAACACTATGGAAAGAACATGCCTTCGCCCCAGCCTCACAGTTCCAGTCTCAAGATCAAGCGACCTGGCGCTTGGAGCCCAGACATCCCACCGGCACCTATTCCCTCTTCTAGGCTCAAGAAAGCAGTGGACAGAAAGAGATATTTTCACATTAAGCACACATGCTATACTTTGTACAGGGCACATATACACAAGGTTCCAGGATGCTTGAACAATTATTTGTTCAAAGCCAGTAGTCAATTC